ATCATCCGCAGCAGCATCATCACCAGCATAGTCAGTACCATCATCATCATCATCATCATCATCATCATCATCATCATCATCATCATCGTAATCGTCATCATCATATTCGTTGTCGTCATCATCATCAGCATCATCGTCATCGTCATCCTTAGCATCAGCATCATCAACATCATCGGAATCATCATCCGTAGTATCATCATCGTCATCGTCATCGTCATCATCGTCATCATCATCATCAGCATAATCATCACTATCTTCATCATCCTCATCAGCCGAAGCAGCAGTAGCATTATCCTTATCAGCATTGTCATCAGCAGCATGATCATCAGCAGCATCAGCATCATGATAATCATCCACCTCCTCTTCATCCTCATCAGCATCAATATCAATCTCATCATCAGCAGCAGCAGCGTCGCCATCAACTAAATAGCATCATCGGCAGCAGCATCAACATCAACATCAGCAGCATCAGTGCCATCCCCATCACTGTCATCATATTTTTTTAAAGGACGCGGACAGCCGATGACCAACGTACCACTAATGTCCACGACTTGCAGTGTCAGCTTCAGATCCGCTTCCCCTAGCGGGGGCTATAGCCGCATCCATCGGAAACACTCTAGGGCACGAGAGCGACAGCGCGCTACAGAGGCCGGCCAGGTAAACGTCACCACAATCAGGGAAGAGGAGGAGGAGGAAGAGGAAGAGGAGAAGGGGAATACCGCTACCGACTCAGCGGCACACTCTGTGGCAGAATGTCGAACTCAGTGACAAGAAACGGCATGTAAAGTATTAGGCTGCACCTCAGAGTCATGCGACTCTGGCCCGCAAGTGGCAGCCGCTGGATGAGGAGGAGGAGAGCAGGAGGGCAGTGGAGCAGCGCTTAGACGCTGACTCAACCAATGCCGTCGTCTTCAACGGGGGCATCGACGACCCTGACTCGAAAAGGTGGACCCCTGCGAGGTGGCCCCAACCACGACGCCAAGCCAAATGGCAATGACCTACTAAAAGTAACCGCGACGAATATATAAGTATCTGGAATAAGCAAAGCTACCGCGTCAAGCAAACTACCGAAAGAGAGAGAGAGAGAGGAGGGGGGCGAGGAGAAGGAGGAAGACTGCACGCGCCTGCGGATCGCTCCGGGGCAAGAGGGCCCCGAGCGTTCCCGAGAGCCTCCACAAGTTCAACTGGAGGGAAGGGCTGGCCGAGTCGCGAGTGCCGCCCGCAGGAGCTGCTGCCACCTTCGATAGATGCATCCTTGGGTCGGCACTGCGCGCCGTGAAAACGTCAAGCCGAGAACCTGGAGCGCCTTGGCCGCAGCTAGGTGGCCGGCATACAAGCAGCATAAACCACCTGATCAGCATAACCCACCCCATCAGCATCAGCAGCATAAAACCACCCCATCAGCATCACTGTCATCATAAGCAGCATAAACAACCCCATCAGCATCGGCAGCATCAGCATCATCATCATCAGCAGCATCACCATAATCATGATCATCATATGTCACCATCATCAACTTCGTCCTCGTCATCAGCATCGCCGTCTTCGCCATCACCACCACCACTACCACCATCATCAGCATCATCGTCGTCATCATAATCAGCATCACCAGCAGCAGCAGCAGCATCAGCAACAGCATAATCAGCATCATTGTGCCCATGGTCGCAATCAGTATCACCATGACGGGCAGCATCAGAATCGGCATCATTATGATAATTATCGTTAGCGAGATCCTCGACGTCGTCGCCGTCATCGCACCAACATCACAACAGCGTCGCCTGCATCATCATCGCCGTCGCCGTCGCCAACAGCATCGTCATCACCACCATCATCATCTACAGAAGCCCGTGGGTGGTCTCGCTGGCACATAACATAACACAGTCATGCCCGGCCGCTATTGGTCTTGATGTAGCGGAATGGACTTGCAGCTTCGATCGCCACATGGCGCTTCGACACCGCAATTTCCGCTCTCACCACGCGTGATGATGCAGCAACTTACGCATGCACCACATCGCACGTGTACATCACAATGACGGGATGCATGGCAATGCCCCTGTGCACCACAGCGCCTGTGTACACAACTGCGAACGCGCACGCCGCAACGCCTGCACCACAGCCACCGGAGTGCCGCTCGCCACGTAGCAGCCCACGAGAGAAAGCCAATTCTGCGCACCCCTGTGCCTGCGTACGAATGCACCCTTGTGCCTGCGTGCGCCGCCAGCATGTACATCACAGTTCCCGCGTACACCACGAAGCCCGCGTACATCTCTAGGCGCCCGACGGTGTCAAACTTCAACAAAACATGGCCAGCCCTGACGTATCAAATTCAACACGCACGTTGTTTGTGACTTTGTTTTTCTGGCCACGGGCACGGCCCCTATCCCCGTTGCCTGCGCGCAGAACAATACCAACGTATACCGCAATGTAAGACACCACCACGCCTGTGTGCACCAAAACTGCCGCCGCAGCCGGCGCGTGCGCTATGCACACCGAACTGCCGCGCCTGCGCGGGTGCCACAACGGCCTGAGCGCGCAGCGCGCCTCTCCATACCACAAGCATATGCCTACGCACACTACACACACGTTGCGCGCACTACATACAGCATACCTATGCGCTGGGCAGCAGGCGCTGCTGCAACGGGGGTGGGTGGGGCGGCGGGCGTTATCTTATCTACTGGGTGGGTGGATGGGTTGGAGGCCACATGACGCGCGCAATGTGTTCTCAAAGACTTCAGCTCAAAATCAGCATCATCGTCGCCATCATTGCACAGATCAAATTCACCATAGTCATCATCGTATTAATCATCATCATCGGCATATGCATCATCATGATGATCATCATAAGCAGCAGCACCATCATCAGCATCATCATCAACAGCACCATAATCACCATCACCATCATCAGCATCATCATTATTATGGCCATCGTCGTCGTCATCAGCGTCGCTGGCATCCTCGTCATCATTACCATTACCGTCAGCATCATCATCATCAGCAGCATCATCAGCATCATCATCATCATCATCATCATCATCATCATCATCATCATCATCATCATCATCATCATAATCATCATCAGCAGCATCATCATCAGCATCATCGCCCTCGTCTTCGTCCTTGTCCTCGCCATCTTAATTGTCATCATCATCAGCAGCATCATCATTATCAGCAGCAGCCTCATCATCATCAGCATCATCATTATCACCATCATTGCCGTCGTCACCGTCATCGTCAACTGTATCAACGACATCGACGAGGTCATTGATTACACCAATGGTTTGTCCATGATGCGAGTCGCCTGTGCGACTGCGCGGTGACTTGCAGTGTGACGATTCCTTCGGAAGGAAGCAGAGGGTACGCGGAGGATCGAGGTGTGTTGACGTTCCGACTTGCTGTTGCCGCCTCAAGGAGGGGGGCTCTGGAGGAGGATACACCCCCCCCGCAATCCCCGCACTCTTTAGCGAAGAACCTATCCATATTCACGCACTCGCGGACTGGTTGCCAAAAAGACAATCCAGTGCATATGCGATCCCATAGATAAGTCCCGCCCGGGGCAATCGCGCAGGCCCACCCTGCAACCATGGGGCCGCAGCCCTAAGGACCCTGACCGCGAGACCGTGGGGACGGCGACGCTTGCCGCACACGACCCAGACGTGCTCGCGCGAGGAGCTGCGGACCGTCGACGCCGCACTCTGATATAACACAGCGCAATGTCGGCGTTCCTGGCGGCCGCAGGTCTCCCCAATGGTGCAGTGGGCGCCTGAGGTAATGCGCCAACCAGGCGTACACAGCGACAGTGGCCATGCCCAGGATCCGTGTGCAGTGCAGACGCGGCCGCAAGAGGCCCTCGCAAGAAACCCATGTCTGAAACCTGCGCGAGGTACAACTGGAGGAGACCCAAGGCACCCTGAATGCAGCAGGTTCTTGACGCCCGCAGTCACCGCGCAGCGCGCGGAGCGAAGAAACCCATGGCACCCCGACGACAACCGCATGGTGCTTTTCATGCGCGCCCCCACTGTATACGACCTCCCAGCTTGGCCATGAAGGCATATACACCGACCCTGAGCCCAGGACTGTCCAGGGTCGGATTACATGTACAGCTCTCGTCGCCCGAACTTGAGAGGTGGCGGGTCGCCATACAAATTGGCTGGAGGCCTGGGAGCTAGAGGCTGGAGGGGTAACGGGTGCGGGATGGTGGAGGATCTTGCAGGCCATTGAAACGCATGTGCTCTGCGAGCCAGGCGAGGCGAAGGCGAAGGCGAAGGCCGGCGTGCCGAAGTCCGCGACCGTGGAGGGCTGCCGGGCACTGGACAGAAATAACACAGATCATCGCTATGCGTCAGGAAATCCTGCCTACGGCTCAATCAGTCCACCGCTTACAGGGTCGTCCTTGCGACCGGATGCCCATTGGCTGCCACTGTAGCAGGTTCCTTGACCATCTCTCGTCTGTGGAACTGTCCGTCTTCTCCAGGAGAGCAGCTTTCCGTGATTGTTGCAGAACGACCCATGATCGAAATCATGCTGTCAATCATGCCCCGAGGCCTCCGTGGCCGCCGAGGTCTCTGAACGGCCTGGCGCCGCCCGCCTCCCCCGCCCTGCCCGCCGCACACCCCCGCCTCCCTCCTGCTGTTCCCCCTCCTCGACCTCCGCCTAAGGCTCCTGCTCCTCCGCCTCCCCTCCCCCGACGACGACGACGACGACGACGACGACGACGACGACGACGACGACGACGACGGCTACGGCTACGGCTACGGCGACGACGCCTCGCTTGCCAAGGACGACGACGACGACGACGACGACGACGACGGCGACGACGACGACGACGACGACGACGACGACGGCGGCCACCAGGCGGACCTGCCGCCTGCTGCGCCACGTGCGAGAGAGCGATCCAGACCTCTCGGACTCTGGCGTCGCCGTCGTCGTCGTCGCTGCCGTCGCGGTTGCCATCGTTGGCACCATCGCCATCAGCGTCATATAGAAAGCCTGGCTTCGCGCATCTCGCCCCGCGATGCGCGCCCCGCGGTTGGCTTCGCGCCCCCGCGCCGCCCCCCGGAGAAGGGTTCCTATCCTGCTCGGGCCGCGGCGCGCGAAGCACGTTTATCTTCGTGCCCGTCGGGGTGACCGAGGTGATCGTCGCCGCCGCCGCCGCCGTTGTCGCTAGATCGGCTTAGCTCGGCTCGAGGACCGACGCTGATCATGGTTTTAGTAGTCTTCACTCTTGCCTCAGTTGAGCCATCGTCGGCGTCGTCGGCGCGGTCGTCGTGGGGCGGCAGAGGGGGGAGGAGGAGGAGGAAGAGGAGGAGGAGGAGGAGGAGGAGGAGGAGGAGGAGGAGGAGGAATGACTGACTCATGAATCGGACCCAACCTGTCGTCAACTGTCTGGCTACTCATACTACAATCTGCATAGTATACTGGCTCGGCATCTGTCTGGCTCTGGGTTTATCTAGGGCGGGCCCATGTTTCACTCGCAGGTGCGCACGCGTGACAAAACGCACTGGTCTGGCAAGCAATGTCCCACTCCCGCACTCTGGCGGGCTAGGCGCCTACGGCTACTCGGAGACAGTATTACTTTGCAGCCTGGAGGAGGAGGAGGAGAAGGAGGAGGAGGAGGAGGAGGAGAACGAGGAGGAGGAGGAGGAGGAGGAGGAGGAGAGAGGATCAGGGTAGAGGGGGGGAGGAGGGGGAGAGGAAGGGAGATGGTGGAGGACGAAGAAAACAAGGCGAACCACAACTAAATTATCCGAGTGCGACCCTACCTAGGAGTCGGAGGATCTAGGAAAGCAACATCTATATGAAGCTAAGTTAAGCTAAGATGAAGCTAAGCTAAGATGGAATAAGCTAAGCTAAGATGACATAAGCAACGCTAAGCTAAGGGGACGTAACTGGGGGAACCGCGGGGCGGATACTGGGGGAACCGCCCGGGGCGAGTTGCACTGCCCGGCCCTTTAAGCATACCGAGTAAGAACCCTTCTAGGCAGAGCTAGGTAGGGAAAAAGAAAACTGGTGTTGCACCCGGAAATGTGGTGGCGCAGCCGTGTCGCTGATCCACAGTTGCACACACGAAGGACGGGGAAACGAAGATGGCCATCTCCCTGAGGCATGCGTCCACGGCTCGGTCGGGGGACGACAATGGTGATACGATGGGAACCTCTTTATTTGACATGTCACACATTGTCATATCCTGCTGTGTCACTGGATGTGGGTGTTGGCCAAGCATGTGATTGGACTGCTGATGTCATGGGCAAATGGAACATACCTACGCACACCCAGGCCTGAGCAGGAACGAATCGCGAGATCGGCCAACCCTGTCGGCCTGTGAGAGCCGCTGTTTCGATCGCTTCGTCGTTGTCGTCGTCGCCGTCGCCGCCGCCGTCACGGCCCCCTTCCTTCCCCTGGGCCCTCCTCCTCAAGAGCGCCAACCAAAGCGAAATTAAGCAACGTCGTAGTTGAGTCGAAGGGAAGTCCCGTCGCTTTGACTCATTCCCCGCCAGAGGGGTAGGCGGGTCCCGGGGGAGGTCCCCGGGGGAGGTCACGGGTCAGAACACAGTCTCGCCCAAAAAGGCCCCAAGATGGGTCAAGAGTGCCCTAAGAGGCCCCCAAGATGGTCCAAGAGGGCCCCGAATCGGCGAAAGATCGGTCCAAGAAGCCGAAGATAGCCTCCAGACGGCCCAAGAGGCCTCCAAGACGCCCCGAGAGGGTCCCGAGAGGCAAACGTCCTTGATTTCCTAATATGGTTTTTGGCAGATTTTGGCGTTCTCGCCTTTTCAGCTTCCCGACGCGCCAAGACGGCCCAATAAGCCCCCAAGATCGCCCCAAGACGGCCCACGAGGCCCCCAAGAGGGTTGCGAAACGACCCAAGAGGGCCCCGAGACGGCCTCGAAGACGGCCCAAGAGGCTCCCTAGACGGCTCCAAGAGAGTGCCTGGACGGAGGGCACTAACGGACATTTCGAGCCCTCGGCGGCCCCGAGAGGCTCCCAGGAGGGTAGGGGTAGGGTTCGCATGTGGCCCCCTACAGTCGGAATCGCGGCCCCAGCCGGCGAGTCGAATCGCATCGAATCGGGTCGCAGGCAACCCAGACACCTGCAGCACCGTCGTCAGCGAGCCACCGCGATGGTCCTGGACAGTACAGCCCTGCGCGGGTATCAGCTTGGCGTCGGTCGAGGTCTGGCGCGACTCGACGGACCCCACCGTCTGCACATGAGTGCCAGCGGCTCTCGCGCTCCCCAAATAATGGGAGCGTGACTCAATAGTCAAGAGCTCGACCTAGATAGTGGTAAACACTGCAGACACTTGGCACAGCATACTGAAAGAGGAATGATCGCAGGAGAGCAATCCTGGACAGTGATTGCAGGAATGATTGAAGTGACTGCGCCTCTTCCCCCGCCGCTCCGACACCCTCTTGATGGCCTCCCCCGCTGCCGTGGCGAGGGAAGCCTTGGCGGAGATGCTGCATCGCTGCATCGCCGCACTCTACCCGAACAGTGCTTGCACTCAGGGCTCCTCATCTGTCTCACCAAGGAGCTGGTTGCCTCCGCCTGGGTCTCGCCGCGTCGCCGCCCCGTGGCCGCCTCGTGGCCGCCCGCTTGGGGGGCCCGCCGAGGTCTCGCGGAGTGGCCGCCCGCGGCCGCCTCGTGGCCGCCTCGCTGCCGTCTGCCTGGGGGGGGGGGGGTCCGCCGAGGTCGCGCCGCTTCGCCGCCCGTGGCCGCCTCGACCCCGTCGCTGCCCGTGGCCGCCTCGTGGCCGCCCACTGGTTGGTTGTGGCCCGTTGCCGCCCGTGGCCGCCCGTGGGGGGCCCGCCGAGGATGCGCCACGTGGCCGCCGCCACCGCCGCCTCGCAGCCGCACCATCACATTGCGCACGCCGCATCGCTTGCGCCACGCAGCCTGCGCCACATAGCTCGCACCACGCAGATTGCGTCAGATGGCTTGCACTGCACAGCCTGCACCACACAGCTTACACGGCGTAGCCTGCACCACACAGCTTACACCGCGTAGCTTACACATCCACAGTGCAATGACTTACTGTTCGGGGTACACGCTGGATAACACATTTCTGAACATGTGAGGCGCGATTGCATTGCATCTGTGCATGGTTCGGGAAGTGGGCGTGGCACTTGTCGATTAAAGGGCCCCGGAGCCGTTCCGCCGTCTGGTATTCAATTTTCAGGCCGTCGCATGATGGATGCCGTCTGCAGGAACGTTGCCGAGAGTAGTTTGACGCCTCGTGAGGCTCTGTGCTACTCTGCGCTGTCCCTTTCCCCCCCGCGTGTCCTCCTCCTGGAGGCCTCAACACCCCGCCAGCACCACGGCATCTAAAATTAAGGGCGGGAGCCCCAGCAGCCATCGCACAAAGCGTACCGCTCGGACAGGACGGCACTAGCACGAGTGCAACAGAAGCTCCAGTCAACGTCCGAAGCGGGGAGGCACAGAGGAGGAAGGAGGGGGAAGAAAAGAGAAAGGAAGGAAGACCCACTGGACATCCCCGAAACTTCCAGCACCCTCCGGAAAACTTGAGATTCAGCACATCTCCATGAAACAAGCATCCCCCTCCTCGTGCCTCCTCCTCCACTTCGTCTTATTAACATTGTTATTCGTAGTCGGCTCATTCGTGTTAATATGATTAGTTTAAGCGTTCAATTATCGTTGCCATTATGAACTATTATTCGCATTACCATTGTTGTTATTCTGAACACATTTCTTATTAGTTGTATTAGTCTTATTCGTAGTAGTCTTAGTGCTCGCATTAGTGGTATCAGTATTTCTAATGTTCTGCTAATGAATAGCATTATTATTAGTATGCTTGGTAACAGTATGAATTGTATTATTATTAGTAGTACTAGTACTCGTAGTAATAGTATTATTATTCGGATACTTAGTATTCGTATTATGCTGCTTATGATGGTTCGTCTTCGTATGTGTGTGATTGCTCTTTTTGTTCGTAATAGTATTCTTGCTGTTATTAAGTTTATTAGTGTTCGTCTTAGTTGTTATTCTCACTAGTCTTAGTATCCTTCGTAGTACTATTATTTGCCGCCATGACAGTATACTTACTATTATGATTCGTACGAGAAGTCTTATCGTGTTTTCATTATTCGTACTATTTATCTTCTTCCAGGTATGATTCATGGTATGCTTCTTCTTCCTAGCATGAGTAGTATTAACACTCGTAAGCATGTTCTCCTTATTCGTCTTGTTCGTCTTGCTCGTCTTCTTGAAATTATTATTACTATGATTAGTGTTCGTCTTCTTATTCGTGGTGTTATTATTACTCTTAGCATTAGTATTATTCGTCGTATTCTTCTCGTTATTAGCATTCATATTATGATTAATATTATACTTACTCTTCCTCCTCCTCCTCCTCATCGTCCTCCTTCTCATCGTCCTCCTCCTCCTCCGCCTCCTCCTCCTTCTCCTCCTCCTCCTCCTCCTCCTCCTCCTCCTCCTCCTCCTCCTCCCCCTCCCCCTCTCCCTCACGCTCCTCCTCCTCCTCCTCCTTTTCCTTTTCCTCCTCCTCCTCCTCCTCTTCCTCCTCCTCACTCCATTCATTTTCCTTATCGATAGCTTCTCCCTGTCGCACCCCGAGGCTAACCGAAAGGGCGGGCCGGGAGTTTCGCCCGAGACCTCCTCACCACTACTGACCCTGACGCTTAAAGATGGACAACAGTTTCACAAATGGAGGGCGGGTGGTTTTCAAAATGTGGCTCTCGCCCTAGCGCCGCGCACATTCGTTTTACACCTTTGTAAGAATTTCACGGAGTGGGGGCGGGTCGGTTTAAAAAATCCACTCTCGATTTAGCCCCGCGCACATTCGTTGAAACAAGTTGCAAGGCATTCACGGATTGGGGTCGGGTGATTTTCAAAATGTGGCTCTCGTCTCAGCACCGCGCACATTCGTTGTTAAAACTTGCAAGAGATTCACGGAGTGAGGGCGGGTGGTTTCCAAAATGTCACTCTCTCCTCACCACCGCGCACATTCGTTTTCACCATTCGCAAGGGTTTGATGGATCCAGAGCGGTTCGTTTTCAAAGTGTGGCTCTTGCCTTATCGACGCGCACACCCGTTTCAAACATTTGCAAGAGCTTCACGGATTGAGGGCGGGTCGTTTGCAACATGTGGCTCTCACCTTAGCGACGCGCACATTCGTTTCGAACATTTGGAAAAGTTTCACGGATTGAGGGCGGTTCCTTTTCAAAATGCAGCTCTCGCCTCAGCGCCGCGCGAATTCGTTTCAAACATTTGCCAGAGTTTCACTGGTCTTCATGGTTAACGTATCAGAATTATTATACTGGAACGATTCACGACTGTCAAGGCGCAACAGCCACGTGGATTCGCGGTGTTGTAATCCCAGGAATGGCGCTCTGGCACGATTCAGGATCGCCACGACGTAACAATCAGGTTGAATCGTGGCGTTGACGTCCTGAGAATGTGTTTGGCACGCTTCAAGATGTTCACAGAATTGTCCCCCAACAGGGCAATCCCTTAGTGGAGATGACCCCTTTGTAGGGGCTTGTGACGAGGGATCCTGGAAGAAGGATGTATTTCAACCTCGTTGATGAGTCTTGGGTTTAACCTGGTCCTCATACTTCTCCTCCTTTTCTCCTCCACCTCCTCCTCATCATCACCCTCCTCCCTCATAAAGCTTCCTCCTACTCCATTCCGTTTCCTTATAAATACCTTCTCCCTGTCGCATCCCGAAGCCTGTTTTTAGAGCGGGCCGAGCGTTTCGCCTGAGACGTCCTCACCACTTATGACACTGAAGACTGAAAATTGACAACAGCTTCACAGATGGAGGGCGGGTGATTTTCAAAATGTGGCTCTCGCCTTCGCGCCACGCACATTCCTTACAAAAATGTGCAAGAGCTTCACGGATTGAGGGCGGGTGGTTTTCAAACGTGGCTCTCGCCTCAGCGCCGCGCACATTCATTGTAAAAGCTTGCAACAGCTTCACGAAGTGAGGGCAGCAGGTTTTCAAAGTGTGGCTCTCGCCTTCGCGCCGCGCACACTCGTTCTAAACTTGTTCAAAAGCTTCACGGATTGAGGGCGGGTCGTCTTCAAAATGTGGTTCTCGTCTTAGCGCCGCGCATACTCGATGTAAAAATTTGCAAAAGTTGCATCGGTTCCCAGAGGTTACGTACCAAAGATGGCGTTTTGGAAAAAACGGAGTATGAGGGTACAACATATACGTACATTAATTCGGGGTGTTGAAATCCCAGGAATGGCGTTCTGGCACGATTCAGGATCGTCAAGACGCACCGGTCGTGTTGATCCGTTGCGGTGGAATCCCGAGAACAATGTGTTGGCACTCTTCAGGCTCTTCAAACGGTTGCCTTCCAACGAGGAAATTCCCTCCGTGGAAATGAACCCTTGAATGGGGCCTATGAAAAGGGAGCCTGGAGGGAGGGTTTACCCCAACATCATTGATGATCATTGGGTTTAATTACACTGGTCCTCCTCCTCCTCCTCCTCCTCCTCCTCCTCCTCCTCCTCCTCCTCCTCCTCCTCCTCCTCCTCCTCCTCCCCCTCCCCCTCGGCCTGCGCGCCGCACTCGCAGGCGAGGCTGGTCATGCCGAACGGCACCGCGTGCACCCGCCTGCACGCCTGGCACCTGCCCAGGCCCGAGAGGGGCCGCGAGGTGCCCCGCCCGCCCCACCGCGCCCCGCCCCGCCCTGGGGCGCCGAGATCCGGACATGCCCGCCGCTGCTGGCCCGGCCAATTTGGCGGCGCGCCGAAGGCTACCAGCCTCGAAGGTATCCCTATCCCTGAGATCGACACGCCAAGAGGCGATGACAATCTCAGGGATGCGCCCTCAAAAGATAAGGGAATCCATAAGATTGGCATCGTGATGAGGAGGTGCCCAGCATAGGGATACGTAGGGATGTGTTCCAGGCTGGGAATGAAGGGGGGGGGAAGGGAGGGGAGGGGGGGAAGGCTTCTTTTGAGGGAGGCTGCGCCTCCTTCGAGGCAGGGGTGCTTCTGAGAAGCCTCCCCCCCTCCCCCTGCCCCCACTCTGCGCCTGGCCGACCCCTCCTGGGCCCAGGAGCCGTGCGTGGGGGGCCATCCTGGCCAGGCCCGGGGGCGGGGACGCACCGCTCTCCCGGCCCCCGGGGGGGGGGCGCGGGCACCGCTCGCCTGGGCCCCCGGGGTGGCTCCCTCGCCGCCCCGCCTGCTCCTGCTCCTGCTCCTGCTCCTCCTCCTCCTCCTCCTCCTCCTCCTCCTCCTCCTCCTGCTCCTCCTCCTCCTCCTCCTCCTCCTCCTCCTCCTCCTCCTCCTCCTCCTCCTCCTCCTCCGCCTCCTCCTCCTCCTCCTCCTCCCTGCTCCGGCCGCCCGCTCCTGTCCATGTGCCCGCCGCCGCCGCCCCTCCTGAAGGGGGGGGGGGATACGGTCGACCCGCAGAGGAAGGACGACCGATGAGGCTGCAGGGGCCCTGGAAGTCCGTGTCGGCGCGCTGCGAGCGGGGCGCGGCCAGCGCAGGCGGCCAAGCATGGGCCGAACGGGAAGGGCACAAGGGCAACCTTGGAAAGTTGCTCAGGAGGAACGAGGGCGCTGTTCTGGCTGCGGCGAGCCTCGGCCAAGAATAAGTTCGCCCCCTCTAAATCTGAGGACCTGGTACCAACACCAGAGCCCCTCCTGAGCCCGAAAGAACACTGGCATCAGTCAGCGTCTTGAACGCACAGGACTGCCCACGGTGCAGGCAGCAAAGCCGGGGTGAACACGCAAAGACTGTACGATCTTGCGCCAAGCGGCTGAAAGCAGGAGAGAGAGAGAGAGAGAGAGAGACACACCGCATCCCACCCGTACGATGAGATGATGCCCACCCCGCGTGGGAGCCCTGGCCCTCCCGGGCGGCGGGGCGCGGACGAGGAGGATGGAGAGGAGCAGGCGGAGGAGGCGCAGGAGGAGGCCAACAAGGGGGGGGCAAGGATGGCCAGGGCCCCCTCTGCCACCTCATAACCCCCCTCCCTCGTGCGCCACCACTCGTGTCGGTAGTGCGGTCCGGGCGAGTCGCCCGAGGTGTTGGGCCACGCGCGACTGCGAAGCTGGACAGTTCCAACACCCACGCGGCTGTGAGGCGGATTGCTTTCAAGAGATGTGGCTCTCGCGCTAGCGCCGCGCACACCCGTTCTTGCAAGCTACACCGACTGAAGGCGAGTCGTCTTCAAAATATGGCTGTCGCCCTGGCACCACGCACCGTCGCCTTGAAGGCCTGCAGCACTTGCACAGATGGAGGGCGGCTCCTTTCCAAAATGTGGCTCTCGCAAGAGACGTCCTCTGGTCTACAAATAACATGTAAAGTTGCACAAATTCCTCTTCCTCTTTTTAATCCTCCTCCTCCTCGTCCTCCTCCTCCTCCTCCTCCTCCTTTTCCTTTTCCTCCTCCTCCTCCTCCTCCTCCTCCTCCTCCTCCTCCTCCTCCTCCTCCTCCCTCCTCCTCCTCCTCCTCCTCCTCCTCCTCCTCCTCCTCCTCCTCCTCCTCCTCCTCCTCCTCCTCACTCCATTATTTTCGTTTTCCTTCTAGATAGCTTCCCCCTGTCGCACTCCAAGGCTGGTCGAAAAGGCGGGCTGGGCGTTTCGCCTGAGATTGCCTGAACAATTATGAACGTGAAGTTAAAGATTGACACCAATTTCACAGATGGAGGGCGGGTGGTGATCAAAGTGCGGCTCTCGCATTGGCGCCGCGCACATTCGTCTATCATTTCAAAAGTCTTCACGGGTTGAGGGCAGGTGGTTTTCAAAATGCGGCTCTCGCCTCAGCGCCGCGCATTTTCGTTTTAAGAGTTTCACGGAGTGGGGTCGGGTGGTTTTCAAAGTGTGGTTCTCGCCTTAGCGCCGCGCAAACTCGTTCAAAAACTTGCAAGAACTTCAAGGCTGAGGGCGGTTCATGTTCAAAAGATGGCTCTCGCCTCAGCGCTGCGCACAGTCGTTTAAACAGCTGCAAGAGCTACCTACCAAAAACAGCGTTTTGTAACGATTCACGGCTGTCAGGGCGCAACAGTTACGTGGATCCGCGGTGATGAAATTCCAGGAACGGCGTTCTGGAACGATTCATGATCGCAAAGACGCAACGGTCAGGTAAAATCGTGGCGTTGAAGTCCTGAGAATGGTGTTCTGGCACACCTCAAAATGTTCACACGGTTGCCCCTCGACGGGAAAATTCCCTCAATGGAGATGACCCCTTGTAGGGGCCTATGAAGAAGGATCTTGGAGGGAGGGTGTATGTCAACATCGTTGATGAGTCTTGGGTTTAATACAGTCCTCCTCCTCCTCCTCCTCCTCCTCCTCTTCCTCCTCCTCCTACTCCTCCACACCCTCCTCCTCTTTTTCCTCCTCCTCTTATTATTATTCCTCCCCCTGCTCATCATCATCAGCATGACCAGCATCGCCATCATCATCATCACCACCACCACCATCCTCATCATCACCATCATCGCAACCATCATCAGCAGCAGCATCATCATCCTCATCACCATCAGCAGCAGCAGCATCGCCTTCACCGACATCATCAGCAGCATCATCATCACCCTCCTCCGTCGGAATGATTCCTCTTCCTCCTCGTGCTCCTCATGCGTCC